TATATTAAATCGTAGATGAATTTTTATCGTATCTTAAGTGGTCAAGATCTAGAATTTCTTCTCTATTTTCCTTATATCTTTTTTAATGTTCTATATATACATTTTAAGTACGGAAGGATGTAAAGTTGATCCGGAACGAACCCTCGATAACGTCACAGATTCACGGCACTTAAGATGTAGTGGCAGCGCAAGGATACAATCATCTTAGTCGAATTCCCGTGGGCCGGTACTACACTCGAGTTGTTATAAATAAAATCGAAAAGACTCCTCGTGATGGAAGACACGGTGAAGAAGGAAAACGTGGGCGATATCAATCGCAGGGATCGGCCACCGCGGAGGAACGAGCCGAGCGAAACTCTCGATCGCGTGAACTTTATTATTCCACGAGGCGATATTTCTTCGTAGACGCACTATCACAATGACGTTGCGAAATTTCACTGCGATTCTTTCCGCAATATATTTTCCGATTTACTCAATCGATTTCACTTAATTTCATGGTAATTTGCTAGTCATAAAGAAATACAGTCATATAACAGTCTGGCCACGAGCGAATTTGTCAAAACCCTATAAGAGAGGAAGGTAAATCTAATTTCTTCCTTTATATGTATATTTTGTATGTATATACATATATAATCTCACTCTAACTAATGCTGTCTCACTTTATAATTTTAATTAAAGTTATATATTGAAACAGTATAAGTTAAAATGAATGTATTATTATATCTTAATTAAAGTTACAGAGTGAAACAGTATAAGTTAGAGTAAGATAGTATATAATTTTATACACAGGGAGAAATTATATGTGACCAGTTTGATAAGTCAGCGACTTTTCAAAAAGTAGCTGTTTTGAAAAATATGTCGAATTTTAGTAAAAACAGATTGAAAAGAAGAACAGGTTAAAAAGAGTCACTGACTTGTCAAGCTGCCCTCTTACGTATCTTTCTCTCTCATAGGATTTTGCCAAAATCTGATAAAGTGTCTCTAGCTAATTATACATCCTTCGGATTTTTTTTCAGGAAAAGAAATCGTAAGGGAGGACAGCTGATTCTTGCCGTCCACACGACCGAAATCGACATGGCGAGGCAACAGACGGTGGACCGAAACATCCCTCACCTGCGGGACATTTTTGGCTTCGGCAGCAAATGGGACAACGCTCGTGGGCAAGCTGAGGAGAAGGCACCCGGCCACGATAGCGCCGTGTCGGTGGGCTCCACATCCGGGGAGGAGGAGAGTCCGAAGAACAGCAAGAAGAAGAAGTCGCGTCGCCGCGACAACAGCAAGACGCTGACGGAGAGCGACGTGAAACACCTGGAACGGCATCTCTCTATGAAGAAGACCATACGCAAAAAGATCATGCGTGACCTGCAGCAGGCCTTCGTCGAGGATCCGAACGAGTTTCGTGTGGACGACATACCGCCAGAGCAACTCAAGGCAGAGATCAATATCCAGAGTCTGAGCTTCGGCACGCCGTCCCTGAAGCAGGGACGCACGCGTGGCAATGCTGAAAGCACGTTCCTCGATATGCTGCGTGGTGGTGGTACGAGAGCGCCTGTTATTTTATTAAAGTTCATTCTTCAACACCTTTTTATTTCTTTTGACGACCATATCTTTAACGATATTAATATTTTGACCATGAACAGTCAATTATCTTAATAATTGTATCAAGTCTTTGTCTTGTATAACAGTCTTTAAGGTATAACAAGATAGAAGATTATTAGGTACTAAACTTAGTTTCCGCGGCTCACATTTAGATGACTCTAATTGTAGGTGTAATTTACTTGGACATCTGAAGCTGGCTGCATTTTAGAGATTAAACATTTGTTAATAGAATTCAATGCGAAAAGATTTATTTAAGCAAAGAGTGCCATTTTTATTAAATATGAAACGTGATAAGTTGTTTTTTCGATATGTGCTGCTTCATTACTTTGATTTAAAAAAACTGCAGCTGCAGCTCATAAATTGCTAGTCAAAGTTTATGCTATGTTTATGGAGCAATTGTGTTCCATCGGAAAAAACATGCCGAGAATGATTTCGATGATTTAAGAGTGGTGATTATGAATGATTGTGAATGATAAACAACGCTCAGGTCAACCGAAAAAATTTGAATACACCAAATTGCAAGCATTATTGAACGAAAACTCAGCTCAAAAGCTCCAAGAATTGTCTGCAGCATTAAATGTTACTCCGATGGCTGTTTCCAAACGTCTACGTGCAATGGGAAAGATTCAAAAGAAAGAAAAATAGGTACCACACGAATTAACCGAAAATGCCGTTGCGAATCGCTTAAACATATCTCTAACTCGGAAATTAAATTTAGTGCCTAATAATTTATTTTAACTCTGATCGGTATTCGCTACCAAATTTCTTTAACTTTTCGTGGATTTAGTATACTTTAAATTAATTTATTTTTGCTTAAAGCTAATGTAATTGAACGATTTCTTATTTTGGAAGTCAAAATTCAAGTAATAAGATTATAACTTAAAATTATCTAAAATTGTGAAACAGTTTTTTACAACATAGTTGAAGAAAATGTTCGGGTCCATTGGGCTTGTAAATATCAATTAAATTTAATATACCTTCATAAAATTTCAAAATAAATATTTTCGTATTTAAACGTAAAAAAATACTCTTTGAAACTTTTAGAATGAATCTCATTCTACAGAGTTAAATCTCACTCTTAAAGATTGAAAATTAAGCCACTCTTTTTCAAGACTGATTCAATTTTCATTCTTTAGAATGAGATTCCAGAGAATTTAAAGAATATTTGTGAATTCCACTTTGGACTTTGCTTTGGATTTTTATATAAGCCTATATCTTACAGGTTTGGAGAAAAATGGGACGGATGGTGACAGAGATTCAGGACATGGTGGCTCGCCGACCAGAGAGGCGTCCAGCGCCCAGGATACGGATGATGAGTCCAGCTATGCATACGAGGCGCCCACCGCGACGCCCACGAAGAAGAGCAGCAACTTCTGGAGACGTTTCACCATGAAAAATCGCAATAAACGATAAATCCGCGACAGGAACCCCAGCGCGAAGAGAGAGAGTACCGATACTTTATATTCTCCGTCATCTCGATAATTTTTACCAGCGTATTTAACGAGGCAGAGCTTGCAACTGTGATATACATAAAACATAAAACCAATCATCTTCACCTCTTCCTCTCCCCCGAGACGATCCATCCGTCGAATTTTAAGAGGTTCCCGAAATTCGATCCGCATACAAGACCGAGGACCAAGAGATTTAATGTACAAATTTCGGACCAGCATATTTTATTTGCTACGACATATCATCGGACATATTAATTACGGGCCTTAAAAGACCAGACAATATATCTTTTTTAAATTAAAAAATAAGGAAAATTCAGGATAAGAATTCGATAAATAAGAATTCAATAAATGCGAAAAAAACGTTTCAATCAAAATAAAAACGATTTTTTATTTTGACAAACGATAAAAACTGATGTTATTTTACATTTGAATTTAATTTCTTGTAGCTCAATTTCAGTAAGTATTTAGATTAGCAGATATTGGAACGATGAAATAATAATTCGCACCCCTACAGTACAAAGTTGCACAAAAGTTGCGGCAACATTGCTGCAGCAATATTGCAGAGATTTTGCAGCGATATTGCTGCAAATCCTGTGCTGTATGGCTTCACTTTATTATTTGAAATGATATGTACTCACAAGCTTTGAAAAGAAAGAAAAACAAGGGAGTAGCTAGGACAAGCTATTTAGGGATCTCTCTTGTCTGACCAATTTCGCTGTACATATATACTTTTTTTGAAATATCGGAGGAACTTCTTAAAACTTTCCGACCTGAAATGTAACGATCGATGTGCCCGATAATGTAATTCCCATCTTCTGACACGTACTTAAAGGCAATGTAAAAAATAAAAACGGAGGCAGCGAAATACAAATACGTATATAGTATTTAAGGATAGTTAGTTTAATTTCTTTTAATGTAAGAGAGAATGCGGCAGTTATGGGTGATCTGTAATAAACGTAAAAGAGGTGCGTATCGCTTATATATATCGCGTATATATATAATGTACGCATCGGTTAGTATTAGCTAGTCAACGATGCTAAGACGTATACCCGTGAGACCCGATCGATTTTCTTACTGACAAAATTTGATATCGCTTTTTTATAATAAACTCAAAAATGAAATAATTTTGTAACTACTTTTACTTCACGGAAATTTACAGGCTTAAGGCTTCTCATCTGAGGAACTCATGTATATGCACTTACTGAATAGTATATGTAAGGAACTTACTGAATTACGTCGTTTAAGTGTGACACATTGCATTTTTTTCACTCTAACTTAAGCTATGTTGATGTTTACCGAAATCCTGTTGTTCCTACCATTTTTCGAGATATCTCGCTAGTATTATAAATAACGTCATCCAAGCGACGTCGATAACGATTTACGTATTCTCATCTAATCTCCACTTTCTACTATAGTAATAATAATATAATAATTATTATTCCTTTTAATATTAACTGCAACATTATATATTAGCTTTAAATGTATTATACTCGAGATCCAGCTTATGTAAGAGCAGAAATGTACTCGAATAAAAAACCTTATTTGGATATTGCGCTTGTTCTTGCATTAATTAATTATCGTATCGTTTTATGCAAAAGTTTATTGCAGCATAGATGTGTATATGTCGTAACAAATATAACAGATAATATCTTATGTCTAACCTCTTAATTAACGAACATTAAATGAACATTTTTCCCTTTTTTTAAAAAGGTTTCCTCAATTCTTGATAGAAAGATCTATCAATCAGTTAAAAGGCAAGACATATTAAACAGAGATTTTCATTACAAAAATGCAGTATAAAAATATTTAAAAAAATATTCATCGACACTTGTGTCCCTTTCCTCTTACAGATATAGATAACTTAAATCTATTGATTTGTATATCTCGGCGAACGTTTCTCTAGGAAAGCTGCCATTCCTTCCTTTCTGTCCGCCTGAAAGAAAGGAAATTTTAACTTATTAATAAATCTATTTTTTCATCAAATTTAGATTATTGATAATCACAAAAGGATTTCTCACCAGAGAGAAAGTGCTGTGAAACAATCTTTGTTCAAACAGAAGTCCCTGTTGCAATGTGGTTTCGTATGCTAAAATTAATAAATCATAATTAGATACATTACAAACTATTTTGGATTACAGTGAGAATTACTTAATTAATTCTTTATGTATTCTTTTTACCAGCATTAACAGCTTCTTTGGCTATCGCGACAATCAACTGTGAGTGAGTTGCGATTTTTTCGCCCAATTTCACTGCTTCTTCGACGACTTTGTCAGCTGGAAATACTTTGCTGACTAGACCTAGATAAGATTTAAAAAAATAAAACTTACTTTTTTTTAATACACTAAACGTTTTATAAAAAATATAAATAACAGAATATTAAGATTGAAATTAATGAAAAATCATTAAAAATAATTTAACATAAAAAACTCAAATATATAACAACAATTTTCAAATAGAATTTATATTTAATGAAGTAACTTAAATTTCTTTCGGTTGCAATAGTGTTAACTCTAATTTTTGTTAATGCAAACTTACCACTTTTCTCAGCTTCTTCCGCGGAAATCATATTACCAGTGAGTATCATTTCCATAGCTTTACTTTTACCGACGACCCTGGTTAATCTCTGAGTGCCGCCTGCTCCGGGAATGGTGCCGATGGCAATTTCTGGTTGGCCGAATTTGGCTTTATCACCGGCGTAAATAATATCGCACATCATTGCTAGTTCATTTCCCCCACCCAACTATGAAAAACGGGAGTACATGTTATTGAACTATTCATCTTTGTTTTCAACGTCTGTCGAAGACAATCGAAGGCATTACTTACAGCGTAACCATTTACAGCAGCAATTATGGGCTTTCTGCTTTTAGCAACTACATTCCAGCCAGCTATAAAGTTTAACTTCAAATTCGATGCGTACGAATTATCTTTCATTTCCTTGATGTCGGCACCTATGAGAATGCAATTAATATATATTTTTATATTATAATATATAAAAAGACAATAAAAAAGGATCAATATCCCAAATTTAATTTCTTGAATATATTTACAGAGTAGTATTTAAAATAAAGTTCATGTAATCTTACCAGCAGCGAATGCCTTTTCACTTCCGGTAAGGACGATGGCGGCGATAGACGAATCCGAATTGAAATGTTCCAAAGCTTGACTTATTTCGCTCATTAATTGATCACACAAAGCATTTAAAGCTTTTGGCCTGTTTAAGGTAACAACGCCTACATTTTTCTTTTCACCTGCAGTCTCAAGTTTGAGGAACTCATAAATGCCAGTTTGACCTGTAAATCACATCAGAGTAGGGTTTTTATTTAAAAAATAAAAAGATATTTCTTCATTTAAAAAATTAAAAAATACTTTTTATTAAAGAAAAAGAAAAAAATGTATTAGAGAATAATTAATTCGTGATTAGTTCCTAAAATAATGACATAAAAAGTAAACAAGATTATTTTGCATTGAGATACGTGTTATAAAAAAAAAATTAGAATGTATCATTTCCATAATGACTGTAAAATATACAATTTATTCAAGTACTGTAAATAATAACGAAATTTTTACTAATAAAAAAAACTAATTATTACATTAATGTAAAATGTAGCCGGAACACATAATTGTTATTGGAGTTATAATACGCTCGCTTTTAATGATTCGCATATTTATTGTGTATAATTAATGCCCAACTAAAAAAGGATATATTAATAATTAAATTCAAATAATAATATAGTCTGGAAAAATAGAATCTTTTTCTAGTATATTATTTGTAACGTACTACATGTTTTGATAAAATTAATTAACGTTAATAATGCGCGATGTGTCCGATGTTTTTTTCAAAAATAATTTACTTATATATATCAGATATTTAAAGTAGTTTTATTATGCTCAACGTTTTAGGTTCCACAAATGTAAGATTAATTCAACTTCCTATTTATCTTTTTCTTAGTGGAAGCGCGAGCCTTCATTTTCTATATACATTATGTAATCAAGAACGATTCAACATGAAGATAACCACAAGAATACATTGGGCAATGAATAACAAGGTCCGTTTCATGTACAAGGTGTCTCAAAAAGAACGGAAATTCTTTTAATTTATTAGTTAATTTAAAGATAATCTTGTTTTTAGCAAATCAAATGTTGTTAATGAATAATTTTATCAGAAAATCTTTTTAATGTTTGTTACATCACTTTAACATAAATTGTCTTTTATATACATTGTCTTTTATTTCTTCTCGAAATAAATAAATATTATTAAATATATAAACTATAAGTTCTGAAAAATATCAAAAACAGTTTTGCACGCTTGAGTTATATTCATGCGTTCAAAGAAAAACAATGAAACGGCGTGTTTCCTGCTTGGCTTATTAAGGCTTATTTAATCTCGTTGAACTTCTTTACAGATATAAATTAATCGCCTTATTGCACGAGATATCTAATTTTAAAGTCATAATTTGAAAATCAAAACAAGATTACAAAAGTATAAATAATACAAAAGTGTTATACATACGTAACAAATTTATAAAATTTATATTATAATTATATTAAATTATATTAAATTTATCTTTTTTCTGTATACATAAATATGTGTGCCCCCGAGATAACTTGTGATTTTTTTTAAAAAGAAATATAATAAACATCTTTCCTCACGTATAGTTATATCATTATTACTAAATACACATAAATCCGACAAATAATTAAATTTTTTCTTAAAACCGTGTGATAGTGCGAATTGCAAGTCATACGCATATATGTACAATAATGTTACAAAAAATAATTATGAGAAAACTATTTTGGGCTGTCGTTATTACGTATATAATTATAGATTTTCAATATTCGCAGTGAATAATGGCATTCAGACATTTAATATGTGATCGAATTTAACATCAGTATATAAACGTATTTTTTTCGTAGCCTCAGAAATAAGTTTTGTAGCGTAGCAATAGTGCAGCAATTATACCGGGTGTTTCCCACGAAACCGGCGTTCCCGACACTACGACCAGCTGTCCGGCTGGTGATAACCGATGACCCGACGGAGAAGGGATCTGTGTTCGCAGGTATATTTGGTACTTACAGGAATAACACCTGAAAACAGGCGTGGCAAATTGCTGCGGTTTTCGGGCTGCGTGCGACACGCGAGAGAATAGAATCTGCGACACACGACTGACAGACATGTTGATAGTCAAGTATCCGTGAATAAATGTAAATTATGATCCAAGTTCGTAGGCTGGCTGATAATGTCACGCAATCCTGCCAACTATCAACGAGAATATCACTGGATTCTTATACTTTCAACTAAGGCTAGAAATATAATGTTCGAATTACCCGCGTTTTAGTGTCCGAATAGTTGAATCCGCAAATTCGAGAATTCGTATTCAAATCGTACGAAAACTAATGGCGAAACAGTATGCTAATTTTTCCTTTTTTATTAAAATTATATGTAACATTTATATCTGTCGTATATATACTCAGGAAACATATTATACATAATATATGTATCAGCGTAATGATATATATTTATTGAGAATTGTATATAGTTATTGTGTTAATAATTAAAATATCAGAAGAATAAACAGCAATGAAATTGCAATAACTAAAATTTCAAAAATTTTCTCAAATTCCAAGAAGTTTCCTACTTTTTAAGATTTTTTTTTTTGTATTTCCACATAAGACAATGTTCTACAAAAAGTATAAAATTAAAAGAGAATAGATCTTTTTATATTTAAAATAAATTTGTATTAAAAAAATGAAATATAACAATTTATCACATTTGTAACTATTCTTAAAAATAGAAATCAATAAAAATAATAATTTCTCGAGTAATTTCTAGATTTTATTGTACAATTGCAGAAAAAGAGCCATCTTATTTTCTTGTAAATCGATGCGATAAATTATTTAATACGTAAATAATTTGCATTAATAATTAAAATATGAGGATAAAATTCATTCACTAATAATTTCGAAAATTTCTCAAATTCCTCATTTTCCAAAAATTTTTTGTATTTTCACATAAGAAATATCTACAAAGTAAAGAATTAAAAAAAATATTTTTATAATTAAAAAATAGATTTTTATAAGAAAAGGTGAAATATAAGAATTTACGTCAACTATTCTTGACACTAGAAGACCCGATAAAAAATAATTCCTATTGTATAATCGCAGAAAAAAGCGGCGTTTCTTGTAAATCAATATTAAATTAATGCATAAATAATTTGCGTGAGTTTACAAAAACGGACAGCGCTTGAGCCTGCAGTTCCGAATCAACGAGCCGCGACAATGATCGATGATCCATGCGATGACTATAACATACAAAGAAAAAAAAGAAGAAAAAGTGAAAAAGATGATCGTCTCATCACGCGGTGAAAGTATCCGATTCGGATACGAATTAAAAGTGGGGAGGAGAGGGTGGAGAGGGAAGAAAGTCACCCCGACAGGTAACGGTGGCAGACGGCACGTTGGCATCTTGGCATTGAGCGAACTTGAGTTTATCGCCAGTTCACGGTCGTTCGTCCACGCTTACTGTTCCCACAGGACCATGCGTTCGATACTACTTCTCACGTTCTTAGCAAACACTAAGCTGATGAGCAATGCAGGTGAGATAGATTGCAACTTCACTGATCCGTTAGTCTGAGATGATAAGGGAGTTTTTATCGAAATTGAGACATTAAATCAAATAAATTCTGTGTTTTTTAAATAATTTTGATTATAATACACTAAAAAAAATTTTAATTTTAAAGAAATACTTTTTTATTCGTATTGAAAAAAATTATTTTTTTGGATCAATAAAAATTTTTTTGGAAATACATCTCTATATCTTATTTTTTTGAAAGTACAATATCTTATTTTCAAAGAAATTTTCATTGATCCAAAAAAATAATTTTTTTGAGTACGAGCAAAGAGATCATTCTTTGAAATGTTTTCTTTAGTGTAATAAATATTAAAAGTTTGTTCTCTTCAATATTAAAAATGTCATTTGAATTTTTATAAACTGATGACTTTTTTTTTATTTACAAATTAAAAATGTACGTAATCATGAATCTATTAATGACAAAATAAATATCATCACTATAAAAAATATAAATATGGATTTAACACTATTATATAATTTTAATATTAACACTGAGTGAGAATATATAGGCATAGTGTTAAATCCATATTTTTTTAAGACTAAAATGATAAATTTATTCAAATATGTATTTAAAGGAATTGTACTTAAGAATACAGAGTGTGTTTTTCATTTTTTTTCCATTTAAAATTATTTCCTTCCCAAGTTTCTTAATCTTCTTTCCATTTTACAATTATTTCTTTCCCAAGTTTTCACAGAAATAGAATAAATCGCTGTTGCACTTTCGTTTCCAACTTTTATTAAACTTTATTTCAATTACTCTGTTTTAAATTACTTTATGGTAAAATTGCTCAGTTTTAAATTACTTTACATTAAACAACAAAGAATTTCTAAAAGATCGAGAATAAAGTCTAAAACTAGCTATCAATTACAGAAGAGATCTGGCAGCAAGATCTGTCTAAAGACATACAAATAGGTGCATCCACTGATGGCTACGATCGCGTGGGGTTAAAATGCGGCGCTGAAAGAATGACCATCGAGCTTAAAACTACAGAGGATTTCTCAGGAGTGATCTACACGCAGGGTAACTTTTATTCCCGAGAACCGTCCTGTTTCCTCGATCCAGTTCGCGGTAGAAGCTTCACCATGAGCATCCCTTTGAACAAATGTGACACTGAAAGGGTACGTTATTTAAATATTAACGTACGTTATTTAAGTATTTTGTTTGTTCCATTAATTTCTTCTTCTCGAAACTATTATTTATTAGCCTTATTAGCAAAACAAGTCATTTAAGTAGAAAGAAAACGTGATTCTCTCTTTCTTCCGAAACCTTTCATTTTCTTTTAAATTATATCTTTCTAAAGAGTGACGAGCTACCATACAATTTCTTTACAATTTTCTAAATCGTGACATTTTCTTAATCGTGAATTATTGTACATTTTATATACGACATAATGACGAAATATCATAGCTGGTAAAAGAAAGTATAACTTGTACATCACATTTTTAAATATATATTATCCTGATATTTTTTAATTCCTACAATTTCTCTTATGTTTTTATTTGTTAATCTAAACAAATAGTAAAACAGGAAATTCAACTTTTATAAAGGATTTTTTAAAATTGTTTCTCTTAATGTTTTATAATTTTTTAACAGTACATACTACAATTACTTTCTATCTCTATTACGAGAAATTACTCGTAAGATAGATTAGAGAGCTTTAATCACTTTAATGTATATACTTTAAAATGACTTACGGTTTAAGATCAATTATGAATTATTTATACCATTCAAAATTTTCTGTACATTTTTTGTTTCGTTGAAAGAATGGTGACAAATACAGCAACATCGTGGTGATTCAGCACGACGACGAGCTGTTAACACCAGGTGATGCCGCTTTTACGTTAGAATGTGACTTCTCGAGACCGCGTGATCTTACGGTATCGGCGGATCTTAATGGGAGTAAGAAGAGGTAATTGCTGTTTCGTCATTAATTCAACTTACTTTCGACATAAATGTTGATTGCTGCGCTTTTTCAATTATTCATAAGCTTAATAGAGATGCTGCTGAGATTGATTTTCTTTACGTATGCGTGAAACGAAAATTGAAAAGAAAATTGGCAATTATTACGATGCGTGAAATGAAAATTTGAAAAGAAAATTGGCAATATCCTTCGATAAAACATTAATAATTTGTAAAAAACATAAGTGTTTTCACATCTACTAAAGATCTTAAGTAAAGAACTTTGATTTTCTTAAATATAGATATACTATATTTTCTGTTATAATACTATAATATATAAATTAATAATAAAAAATAAACTTGTCCTCTCTTTTCATCTCGTAAAGTTATTCTTCCAAAATTAAATAATGTTCAGTAATTTCAATTAAATCAAAGTTAAGGTTTTTATTTAAAAAAATTAATATCGGTTTAGTTATAGAATACATATTTTTATGAAGTACAATGAAACTTTTATATAATATATTTCAAGCAATGATACACTTTTATTAATTAGGTCGACTAAATCGAGTATAGCTCTCATCGACGCCGATCCGGGAAGTGACAGAAGAAAGAGGTCGGCGTACGTGGAAAGCTATGGGGACGAGGTTGTTTTCATGCCGAAACAAGCATATCGTAAGGTGAACGACGAATTGTGAGATACCAGTGTGTGCTAGCTGAATAAAGAGACTGAGTAAACATTGTCTTATTTGTCGCTTCTCGAAAACATTCACAGAATTCCCAATGAGTAGAATGTTTAAAATCAACACACAGAACAACTTTAAGATATCTTAAAGTTGTTTCTTACCCAGCAAACGAGAATGGATTAAAATGAATTGAAATGGATTCAGAAATATTGATTCACGAATGTTAAAATGAATGCTTTTCAATCCTGAATGCATTTTTATTCATTTATAGGAATTGCATGGAGAATATCTTTATGCCTTTCAATCTAAAAATAATATTAGCTTTTTCTATGCATTGTGAATACTGTTCAATTCAAAATTTTGAAATAGAAAATGCAGTTTTTCAATATAATTGCATCCAATTGAATCTAATTGAATCCAATTGAATCCAATTAAATCCAAAAAAAGTATCCGCTATTTAAAATACGCATTCGGATAGAAAAAAATTTCAATACATTTTAATCCATTCTCGTTTGTTGGGTATGTGTTGATTTTAAACATTCTACTCATTGAGTTATGTCGAGCGACAATCGCCATACACAGATCTTCACATTTAAAAATTCCTATCGTTTTTTGATTAAAGAGTGACAGTTATATTGTAAATAAAATTGTAGCTCAAGTTTCTCGCTGGCACAATCGGTGGTGTTGTCTCACAAAATTCTCTTTGATATTAGACATGTTTATAGCAAATGCAATCGTAAAGATCAAGAGATGCAATTAATATATTTCGTTCTTAATTAAATCGTAATTGATTAAATATATTTAATTTAAAAAATCAATTAAATTAACTAACGCACATTTCTGCTAACGTGGAAATTAATTTTAAACTCGGTTCAACTTACTCTTTATCTTTTTCTAATTCTAAGAAGTAAAAAAACATGGAGAGCCAGTTTAAATCAAAATTAAACTACATTGAAAATTAAATTACAAAAAAAAGATATAAATCCAAAAGCCGATTTTATTTTGCATTTGTCGAATGTGATCATTGCCGCA